TTGTTAATCAACTATACTCCAATATAAAATAAAAAGTTAAGAAAAAGAATAATGCTAAAGAGTCAATTAACCCATAAAATATGCTACCCATGGCTGTTGGTTTTACAAGTGAGTATTTGCAATCTTTTACAACCTCCTTTTTAAGAGATAAAATTGAGCTAGTTAGCAGAAGGTGTAGATCAGTGCCTCTCCTACTTTTATGTGCGTGTGAATTACCTGGGGATATTGTACAATGCAGATTCTGGTTCAGTAGGTCTAGGGTGGGGCCTGACATTCTGCATTTCTAGCGAGCTCCAGGGTGAGGCTGCAGCCCCACAGACCACCCATTGAATAGCAAGTTAGTAGAAAATAGTAGTAAGGGTGACTGCCTGGCTCCTGTGATCTCTCCCTTCTCTGGGAGGGACCCTACTAGACAGGAGTTTGCCACCAGAGGTCCTTATGTGCTTATAGGAGCTTGACTCTCTGGCCAGATGAACCCTTGATGCCAACAAGGTTAATCAGTTCTTCCCCAAGACTTTCAGAACTGGAAATAAAGGAAGAAAGTAAATTTTCTCTCTCTTGTGATGAAGCACAGGATATCAGGCTCTGGAGTCACCAGTCACGTGAGAAAGCCAGTAAGAAAGCCAAAAGGAGACGTGCAGAGAAGAATATCCAGGTGCCATGCCAGTCCCTGGTGAGGCTCACACCAGACCCCCTTCCCGCAAGTTTGTAAGATATCCTAATATTCTCCAGCAAATTCCTTTTCTGGCCTAAATTTTTTCTAGTTGGTTTTCTATCATTTGAAACTTTAAAAGTTCTGACTAACATGGTTGGGGGAGAGGAGGAGGTCTTCTCCTGGAAATGCAGTAACCAGTGTGCCAGAGGAATAAAGAGAAATTCAGACAGGGTAATTATCCAGACATCTGGGGCCTGGGGTGAGGCTAGACTGTCCAATAATCATGCTATATTTGTCTCCAAGAGAGTGGATAAGCCATAGAGAGAAGATAATAAAAACCTAAGGCTGAGGGAAGATGGAGAAAAGCCTCAGCCTATCTAAAATGGAAAAACCGAAAAGAGAGGCAAGAGAACCTGTGGATTCAAACTGTTGGACAGCGTTGAAAGTGAAAAGAAACTCTTGCCTCAAAATGACAACTGCTGAAAACCAAAGGGGACAGGACAGCCCAGGAGCACCAAGGCTAATGGTTCTTTAAAGAGTAACCTGAGTGGAGGTTAAAAACAAGAGCTAGGTAGAGCCCTGCCCAGCAAAGAACAAAAGGTTGAACCTCTCCCATGTGCAGGTATTGTATGATGTGCTTTACCTTTATGACCTTATTTAATGACCCTGAAGAAAGTGACCTACATTGCTACTGCCAGCTGTCCCTGAGATTCTAGCACAATCAGAGCTGGTACTTCCATCATGAGAAGAGGGTCATATCATATGAGCCCGGTAAACTCTGGGTATATACATGGGGCACATCTGAAAGTCCTCTCAAGTCTCTGAAGCTGGAAGCAGCCCAAGTGAAACAAGAATGACAGTGACCACCTTTCCAAGTGTGGAGTAAACGAATTTTTAATAATGAGTTTCTTGGTCACACCTTCATCTATATCAATCCCGTTATTCAAAGGTCTACTCAGTTAAATTATAACAAATATTTCATAGCACATTTCCAAAACAGTAAAATTTTGCACTAAAAGGAAAAAGACCGGTTATCACTAAGGTGTATTGTCCATGAACTGAAAGACTTTCATATTTACGCATCAGGTACATGAGCAGGTAAATGCACTCAGGCAGGAAATGTGACAGTGAAGTAATGGGGCTGATTCCATAAAGTGAAATGGAGACTGATCTCATTTTACAGCCATACCTTGTGGTATATTTATAAAATGTTTCTTTCATAAGTTAAAACAGTATATCTGCTATAGATGAATTTAATTTTGGTAAAATCAATGAAAAGAAGTTCTATGTTAATGCAACATTTATTGTAAACATTCCAGAAACACATAAGTCAAAATTTCAAATTATGATTCCCACAGTAACTGTAACTCTGCTGTACAACATACATAAGGGAAGAAATGTTATCAACATATACCATAGTAGAAAATACTCAGTAAGCAGAAACAAGCTGAGTTACGCTTGTTGTGGGAATCATCATTTTCAACTAGCTGAGGATATATAAAAATTGAAACCATAAATGCATACATTATTTTTTGTATTTAATTCCAATTTTTCTTGATCCAATTTAATCAGCTTTGCTTCCAAACTACATTTCCCTTTCATAAACTGTAAATGAATATCTTTCATAATTTTAAAATCCACATAATTTGGTTTCTTTTTCTCAGGCAGGCTGCCTTTGCGGAACGGCATCATTATGCCCTGTCCCTCCCTCAAAAGGTCAGGACATGTCTGCTGGGATCCATTTATCTATATTCCTTGTCTCCCTGAAGGGACAAGGAATACAGAAGACACTGCAGGGGAGGAGAAAAAGAACACCGAAGAGAATGGGAATCACACTGAGTAGCTTAGAAAGGTAAATAAGTGGAACCCTGGCACCATTAACTTCCCCATTGGTATCTTCCTAGGCAGAAAAAAGAAAAATAACACCACCAAATAGTCACAATTTCCAAAGTGTGTAGTCATATCATTAGCTCATCTGATCCTCACGATAACACTGTGAGAAAGGCAAAAGGAAAACACCTTTCAGTTGTTCAGCTCTTTGTGACTCAAGGAAAATATATTTAGGATGTGCTTTTATGTTATCATTTAAAATCTGGGCCATTTAATTACACTTATGATATTACCCACTTAACATATGCAGAGGATTTACTTATTACTGAAGGCAGAATATACTTTATGTAAAAAGATTATGGTTATGAGCTAAACCTTTAACATATTTCAAGCTTTTTGCTTTAACTATCTGAAAATCCAATAATGAAACAGAAAGAAATAATTGCCCTATGAAATTTGTCTGGAATAAAATTAATACTGTATATTATACCCAGTATTACTTTTCCCAGTTTGGTTTCAACTAAGAAGGGCACCTTCTACAATCTCTGAAGAGGAATCCTTTTACTTTCCAGTAGTCTTTACCATCAGGGTATGTTTCATTATACTCAAACTAAATGACTTTGGCTCAAGAACAATCATATTTCCTTTACTACTCTAAGTAGCTCCCGGCCACCAGTGTCCATGACCTTATGTAAGTGTTTACATGGTCAACCGTTTTTTGTCTCTTAGCACTACTACAATCCAGCTATTCGAATTTAAGTTTGTTTTTCCCCCTTTCTATGTACAAAAAGCTGCTTCTCCATATAATCAGATAAAAATTGTCCTTCTTCTTTTATCTAGTGCAGCAATAAAAAGATCAATTAAAATGAAGATTCAGAGCTGGCAAAAAGCCTCAATGTCATTTGTTCTAATCTGAGAGATAACACAGTTAATCCTTTGCCTGTGAAAAGCATGACCATTTTGCATATAATTAAAGGGTAATATTTTAAGTGCTAAAAGGAAAACAGAGTCTAAGGACTATTAATTTTAAGAGGTTTTATTGTAGAGGAAGGGTTGTCTTCTGAATGTTTCCTACAGTTACAAAACATATCTTCATAGTGAATAAAGATTAACACGAAGTTCCTGGATAAAACAGATAAAATACAAAAAAGTATCCCATGGGACATGAATACTCAACTTTCACTTTTTTTTACCGCTTATATGTGAAAAAACAATATCTGGGGCTGATAGCAAAGCACAATCTCAATACCATTTCCAGTTACAAGATAGATATGAAGATGGCTGGCAAGATGAAAAAAATCAGTGATGGGGATATAAGCTCTTGCATCTTGTCAGAGACCGGAAAAGAGCTTACTGCCTTATGTGATACATCAGTCAGACACGAAGACAGGGCCACAAGCATGAATTTTTCCTACAGTCCATCCGTTTTATGGGATTGTCCCACAAAAAGTGTAGATCCAGCCAGTGGGCAAGGTTTACCTTAAACAGAATGAAACAACATCTCTTTCAGCGTGGAAACAGAAGAGGAGGTGATCATTTCTAGAGGATCACAGAATGCTTAGAAATGAAAAATGATTAGGTTTGTTTCTCTTGAGCAATCAGTATGTGAAATTCCCCAAGATCTTAAATTTTCCAGATAAACTGACAGTAAATAAGGTCCTGGAGACTGTCAGTACCACAGATTAAGAAACTGATTATTCATATCTACTTATCATTTTAGCTGCAGAATTCCAAGAATAGCTGACAAAATATTAACACATTAAAGAATGAACCAAAAGAAAATTTGGGGAACAAAATAAGTGGTCTAATTATAGAAGAATATTAAATAAATTACTGTATATTCATAAAATGGATAGTGTGCAGCCATTCACGTGTTCTTGAAGAATATCCAAGGAGAGGGAAGGGGTTGACAACATACTGCAAAATGACAAGTAAGGTTATAAAATGGTATGTTCTATATGCTCTCTATTTTAGAACAAAAGTATGAAAAAGACTGGGAGAACATATACAAAAATACTAACAAAAGTTACCCTTGCTAGTGAGAATTTAATGTTTTCACATTTTTTTCTTTTCCAAATGAAAAGGGGATAAAACAAGGGGAAGTTCTTATTTTCAAAAAGAGTCAGTGAGTATATTCTGATCTCTTTGTCCCAATATTTTAATAATACAAAATGAAAAACAAATATATTTAGCACATTTAGCACTTGCATTAACAATTATTTTTGAGTTATAAAACCAATAGTTCTTTCAAATTTAGCTTCCTTATACTTTCTGCCAAATCACACAAGAGCGATGTATTTTTAAAAATATATTGACATGCCGCATAGCACAGGGATATCAGCTTGGTGCTTTGTGACCGCCTGGAGGGGTGGGATAGGGAGGGTGGGAGGGAGACACAAGAGGGAAGAGATATGGGAACATATGTATATGTATAACTGGTTCACTTTGCTATAAAGCAGAAACTAACACACCATTATAAAGCAATTATACTCCAATAAAGATGTTAAAAATATATATATATATTGACATGAACTTTTATCCAAGGTTGTAGTCTTCCATGTAGTGTTCTTCATACATCATTGCATCTAGAAAATGAACTTCATATGCTTGATTCCATAAGTTTTGAAGAAAACCATGATAATGAGTGCCCACAATCCCAGAATAAAACCCCCAGGAGGATGCCAATCTTTCAGCTTTGGTTTCTGCAAAACAAGGATGACATTATAAATTTAACAACAGGTAAATAAGTCAACAAATAAATAAATAAATAAAGATAAAATAAATACTGGTGGAAAATAGGAAATTCACAGGTTGTACTTTCAGGCAGAGTAATTTAGACAAATTAAATGTACTGTCAGCCTTCCCTATCTGCAGGTTCCACACACAGATTCAACCAAATATGGAATGAAAATATTGGGGGAAAAAATTCCAGAAAGTTCCAAAAAGCAATTTTAAATTTCACACACACCAGAAACTATTTACACAGGATTTACATTATATTTACAACTATTTACATAGCACTTACATTGTATTAGGTATTATAAGTAATCTAGAGATGATTCAAAGTGTCTAGGGAGGATGTCTTAGGTTATATGTGAACACTACACCATTTTATATAAGGGACTTGAGCATCCACGGACTTTGGTATCTGCAGGGGTCCTGGAACCAGTCCTGGAGGACTGTATTTGGAAAGCAACAATGGTAAAGACTTGAAACAGGGTAAATATCTCAAAGTGGTTCTTACAAAGATCAGTTTCAAATGATCTTTAGATAGGGAAGGCCCTATCTTTTGAGGGATCTTTTGAGGGAAGGCCCTCAAAGAGGCCTTCCTTGACTACCCTATCCAACATGTCTTTTCACCCAAGTTATTCAGTAGCCTAACAGTCCTTTTTCACTTTGAATTTATATAGTCATTAGTTTGTTTTACTTGTCTCCCCTATTAGAGGATGACTGTCTATGACGGTCATCTTGTTATAGTCCTAGCACCTACCTGCCACAGTGCCTGGCATATAGGAGACACTACATTATATCGAGTAAATATTCAGATATTCAACAAATATTTGGGGGGCCAGTGAGTTTGGTCATATTACTCCCTTGAGGAGTAATATGCTCCTTATTCTATTCTTCCTATTCAAAGCTCACTAACTCAAATGCCAACTCCTCCAGATTTTCCTGGATGATAAATTCTTTTCTTTGAATCTGGAGCCCCTTCTATTTTTACTCCTATCTACTATTATAGTTATCTTTATCATTTATCTCCCTGCAAACTTCCAGGGACAAGGTCTGGCTGAGTCCATTTTACATGCCCTTCTCCATTCCTTACCCTTCAACATCCAGCCAAGTGTCTTGTGTGTTTCTTTGGCCAGCAAAGAAAGGCAGACCAGTCTTCCCCATTTAGTTGTCATTTCAACAGCTACATTATGACCCTGAAACTGAAGGTCTGTGACTACGATCTCTTTATGAGTTCTACTTCCTGAATTACTAGCCAAGATTGTAAGGACAGTTATAAGAATCCTATTTTAGAATAGACTAAAGTGAAAAGAAACTGTAATCTGAAATTTGCTTTAGTCACCATGTAAACTAGATCCCAGAAAGGCTCATAAATCTCTTAGAGGTTTCCACATCTTATACTTTGGTTTTTCCCCTACATAAGCAGGACACCTAATGCTCTTCACTCAATCCTCAAATCATCACAGGGAAAGGAAGGAAGGAGGGAGGGAGGCTGTTATCATTTCTTGTCAGGATTACTGAAATAGTTTCCTAACTAGTTTCTCTTCCTCCAAGCTTCCCTCTTTTCCATCTGTCAACCATAGCGCTGCTAGACACATATTTCCAAAATACAAATATATATCTGTATAATATATATTTGCCATACATAATGTATGCATTTATGTATTGTTTGCCTTAGGCATATTACTTTTATTATTTAAGAAATTAAGTAAATAATTTACAAACCAAGGCATGTTGTGGTGTGGTTCAAAGAGCATGGGATTTAGCATCAGCTGCCTTGGATTCAAAGTTTAGTTTTAATGCTTAAAGCCTGCCAAGCCACTACTCCACACTGAATTTCTGAATCTGTAAAATTAGGGCATAGTAACACATACCTCCTAGGAATGAATAAATGCATAGTTACTGCAATGATGTAGTTTTGAAAACGTATCCTATAATTACACGTTCCTACCTAGAAAAGTGATAATATGAAACTCAAAGTACTTTTTAGATGACTTTCATTTGTGTTTGCCAGTTATGAGGAAGAATGTTTGAAAAAAAATATGATTTTTAAAATTTTAATTTGTATAACTTTCATCAATTCAAAATTAACTTATCAAACTAACAGAAGAGAAATCCACCTTAATATTTTCATCTGGATCAATAATGCTAGAGTTTTAGGAGTTTTTAATCAAATGCTTAATAGGAACTGAACTGACAATGTTGTTTACAGTGGTTACATTCCACTCTCACTGCCATGTCTACACTCATCCTCCACCACTCATTCCAGAAAACTCCCCAAACACCCCAAAGATTAATCCCAATGTTTCCTCATGTTACTTTCTACTCAAGTCTACAATGGCTTCTGATCATGTGTGATGACAATGATGACAAAAGTACCTTCCCTCTAGTATCTTACAAGATGATAAGCTCAGTGGTTCTCAAACCATTTCAGATGGTTTGTAAGCTCTTGGAACGTTGTGCAACATTGTGAAAAATCTTAATTCCAGTGGAAAATCTATAATAATTAATATAAAACAAAGTTATATTAAAGATAGGTAATGTAAGTATCATAAGCATGTGACATGAAAAAACAAGTGAGTGAACTAAACATGATTAACTATTGCTCAGTTTTTGTCCTGTTTATTTTCTACTAGTCAAACACTGGTAGTTCACACCATTACATCTTAAACTTAGCAGCCAGAAATAGTTGCCAGAGATAAGACAACTATAGCTCCTTTAGAAGTAACTATCATTTCTTCAAAGATAGCTATTTCGATCTGTTATTCCAAAAACTGTTTCAGAGAATTCTGGAGGCATTGCTTCCTGATCCTTTAGCCAAACATGTCCAACATTTAGACCACTGATGCCCAGGAGAGGACAAGAGAGAAAAGCAAAGTGCTAGAGCTGTGGTTTGCCAACAGCAAACTTTGAAAGCAATAATGGAGGACTAGGAAATATATGTTATTACTCCAAAATTATTATGGAGTGATGTATTTATTCACATTACAACACTGTACAAGCTAACAAAAGTAGCAAATCTCACCCTTTAAAAAACTATTATTTGTGGTTGCTATATTTTTTATTGGATATTCATTACATATATTTGATTAACAAAAAATGGAAAATGAATTATTAATTAAATACAGTTTGGACTCTTAGCTTAGCATGGCATCCATGTAGAGACCTGCCAGTGCAGCTGCTGCCATCTTCTCAGGAAAGGCACAGAAAAAGGCACAGAAAGAGACAAGAGTTCACTCTATCAAAATTAATTTAACCTCTGATAAGAACCCTCAATTTCACTATCTGTAAGTCCAGAAACCAGGTCTAGAAACAAATTAATGGCGGCCCAGTTTTCTGAATAGTACACAGGGTTAAAGGATTGCTTTGCTCTGTGAAACACAGTAATTCTGTCAGCTGAGAAAGGGACTTTAGCTCTCTCCCTTTTTCTGTCTGCTGTTTAAGAGAAACAGTGTTGCCGTAGTAGAGGATGGCTTTATGAGGCAGCCAGAGCAGTGCAACTCATTCCCAACTGACCAGTGGCAAACGTCTTTATACATCCATTTAAGTACAATTCCTAGTAAGGAGCATGTGAGAAGGTAGGGTTTACTGCATCTAAGAATGGTTTACTGCATCTGAGAAGGCTCAATATCCAAATGAAAATCTCTGCAAAGAAGGGAAAATACAGGAAAAATTCTTTTAAAACATATGTTAAGAAATATGGTTTTTCCACATACTTCACCTTTTTAAACTGTCCAAAAACCAGGCATACATAGCATGGTAGCAGATGATCCTAGTTTAGTTTAGCAAAACCACATTTGATGACTGGTTGCCAGTCACTTGGGAATGTCTAACAACTATTCTTCAGATGAGGATCTGAAAAGGCATTCAAATCAAAGTAGACAGAGAGAAACGTCCACATGCTCTGTTGGCAAATACTAACAGAACTCTAAGAAAAAGAGAAAAAAAACATGATGAGGTCCATGAGTAAAAATACTCCCACACATGAAGAAATATCCTGAAGACAGAGAGAACATATCTCTGAATAGATTTAATAAAGAACCAAAAGATAATTTTAAAAAAATTTTATTTGACATGGACTTGAATAAAAATGCACAAGAAGCCAAAACCAAATGAATAGTATAAAGAGAAAAATAATACAAGATACAAGGACAATAGGTTGAGATAAAAAGGGCACAGATACAATTTGCAACAGCAAAATTAAAATCTATATTGACAACAAAGATAGTGTCCAAAGCACATCTCTGAGTCCTTCATTCACCAAACTGTGGTAGAGGGCTTCCCTGGTGGCGCAGTGGTTGAGAGTCCGCCTGCCGATGCAGGGGATGCGGGTTCG